GCATGGCGCGGGCCCTGCGGCGGCTTCGGCGACGGCGACCAGCCCAGCCCGGCGGTGGGATGGCAGCGCTACGGGGCTTCAAACAACTTCGGTAAGTGCTGCCCGCGGCGGGGCAACAGGGGGAAGCGCGGCCGGGCCACGCCGCTAACACACACCTCTTGCCCGTAGGATCGCAGAGAAGCTGGAGGGTGACTGCGGCGCCGAGAAGGGCTCAGGGTCCATGTAGTAGCGCTGGGCAGCTGAGCCGTCGAGAGCAGCTCTCAAAGGACCCCAAAGTGTACTGGGCAGGGTGCAATGAATGCTTAATAAAGGGTGGACAGCGGTGGCTTGGGTGAGGCTCTGGTTGCGTCCTGCCCATCCCTAAGTGGCAGAACTGTTGTCCAGGCTGGTGTATGGCACCTAGTGAAAGGGGAACAGCCTCACACCACGGGTCGGGTGGGAATAGACCTGTGGGTCATCTGTTCCAACCTCCGTGCTTAAGCAGGGTCATCCTAGAGCAGATGTCACAGGATTGCATCCAGATGGTTCTTGAATATCTCTTGGGAGGGAGACTCCATAGCCTCTGGGCAATCTGTTCCAGTGCACAGTCACACAGTAACATCCCTGGCACAGTCACAGGGACAACTGAGGAACAAGCTACATGATGCCCTTCAGGAGAAGGAATGCTTGGAAGAGATAACAGAGATGCTCCAGGAAAAGATTTCTCTGCTGGAAGACCAGCTGGCCAAGCTGGAGGAGTGTAGCACTCAGGAGAACAGAGAAGTCATGGGGGATATTCTGAAGCTGGAGGAGCTGATGCAGGAGGTATCCAGCCTCACTGCCAAAAGAGCAAAGCTCGAGGCCATGGTCCTGTGGCTGAAGGAGGAAAAGCAACTGCAGGAAGCAGTCCTGAACTCTGAATGTGGCCACTCCGAGAAGAAGTGGCAGCTGGATAGCCTCAATTCCAGCTTCCAGAGCTTCCCTCCAAGACCCATTGAACCCAGAAGAGACTGGAGCAGGACCTGCAGACACAGGATGCCAAGGGACAGCCTGGACAGCTGGTTGTCCTCAATGCTCAGCATGAGCAGACAGGAAAGGGACTCTGTCCTGCAGCAGCTCCAGCAGTTGCAGGAGACTAGTGTGTCCCTGTGCAGGTACATATGGATACCAGCCATGGGCCAAAGAGCCCCAGCCTGCTCTAGGATGCTGCAGAGGCACAGATGTAGCCAGCTGAATGGCAGCTCTGTTATTCAGACGGTTGCATGGTTTAAATACATTACATACATTTCTACAGTGCATTAGAACAATACATTTTGGGTCAGTCAAATGCAGCTGGGCCTGGCTGGGGAGTTAGGATCTCCACTGCTGCCCCCTGTGTGCTTACACAGCCAGTGCTGAGCCCCCTCCCCACTGCAGGAGACAAAGCAGCTGCTCTGCCTTCCCGGGTTCACCTGCCTTCATCCCACTCACTCTCCAAAGATAGGGTAACGGGACAGAAAGACCCAACACTGACTTCCCCCAGCAGCCTGAGAAGTCACAGCTCAAGGCAAGCAGGTGCAGGCAGCAGCCCTGGTGCTGTTTTATACAACACAAGCTCAGCAGCTGCTGATGAGAGAGGGGCTCACCGCCTCCCCCACCCACAGCAGGACTGTGAGATTGTCAGCTTCAGGGCAGCCAGGAGTCCATGCTGGTCCCCCAGTGCTCCCACCCACGTGGCAGAAGAGGCCCTCCAGCCCTTCCCTGGCAGCCCTTGCCCTTCAGAGGGTTCCTAGGCACAGACAAAGCTGGCACCATGCTGGCTGCACAGCAGCCAGGGAGCTTGCTGGGAGAGGGGAAAAAGTCAAGCGAGAGCAGCCATGGAGACCAGGCAGGAGAAATGGACTGGGGCAGAAGGGGAGAGCTCGCAAGGGAGAGCTCTGCAAAGCCGCCTGCTCTTCACAGGGACAAGCCAGCACCTTTTTCCCCTTAGTGTCTAACTGCACCCAAGCCAGTCCCATGTGTAGTCCCTCTTATGTCCCCTCCTCGAGCCTCTAGCCAGAGAACAGCCGTTCATTGTGGTCCCCGCTACACCAGTGGGCAGCAGGAACTCCCCCTGAGGAAAGCAGCGTGCACGGGGTTGGGGCACCGGAGGGACAGTGGAGGAGTACAGCACACCCTCAGGGAAACGGAGGGGGTATCACCTGCTAAAGGCCTTCCCAGCCAAGCAGCTGGCATGGTGGGGAAAAAAAAGGGCCAGTGGCTGGTGTAAAGGGCTGGACGGATCCTGGCTTAGGTAACCTGCTCATCCCAGCGCCAAGCAGGGGTGCTCAGAACCACATGCAGGCCAAGGAACAGAGGCAGGGGCAGGGTCCCGGCCATGCCACAGTTCCTGGCAGATTCCCACACCTCCCCCTGGCAGGGCATCAAGCTCCAATGGAGCTAGGGAGGGACCATGCCCAATCTGCCTGGCTCCTCCAGTTCAGCTGCAGGTTCCTCCAGCCACATCTGCTCGCTCTACCCTGAAGGTTGAGTCCCAGCCACAGGAACCAGCAGTGGCCCAACTCTTCTTGCAGTGCTAGTCCAAGGTGGCCAAGCCCTGCCCAGGGCTCTCACAGCTACCACCATGAGAAGAAAGGCTTCCGGCTCTGGAAGCTCTGTGTGTAGGACTCACTGGCGGAGCGCTGGTGGGAACGCGCTGTTTCAACAATCACAGGTGGCATCTGAACCAGGTGCAGTGGACTCTTCCCATCTTTCAACGCCTGAGTCAGGTTCAGGATCTGTATGGCACAACAAAGCAATGCCTGAGTTGCCCTGCCAGAGCAGCAGAGAGCACTCCAGCACTCTTTCTGCCACAAAGGCAGGACAAGGCCTCCTACCTCACCCATCTGTCTTCCCTATGCACAGCTTACCTGGCCTCTCATGACAGCAATCTGCTTGTGAAACTGTCCCCTGTCAAAGCCAGGGTCTTTCTGCAAGAGGGAGAGCAAAGAACACAATGTGATCCACCCACTGCTTCATGATGTGAACAAGATGCTTATTCCCCAAGTAAGCTCCTCCCCCTTGAGTTTCTTTCTCCCACAATGAATTTTCAGCTCCTGGCAGAAGGATAACCCTGCTGTGCCTCAGCCCAGAAACACTGTCAGGAGCTTGACCACCTTTCTGTCCCTGCAACCTTGACAGGGAGATCCCCAACACCACTTCTGTTTTTCCTCCTTCATCTTCACCCAATCCTCCATCTTCACCCACTCCTCCAGCTCACCTTGAAGAGCTCATACAGATCTTCCTCCAGGTCCTTGACAAAGTTGGGGTCTGAGATCTTGGGAAGAATCAGGTCCTTGATCTCCTGTGAAAAGGGGATTTTGGCCTGGGGCAGCCATGCCCAGTAGAACGGATCTGTGGAAGGAAGCAGGAGGCATTAGAATAGGGGAAAGCAACACATGGTGCCACATGCCCCTGGGTGCCAGATTCCCTGCATTTGGAACACAAGATCTAGCATCTGCCTTCTACAGTCTCTGCTGAGGAGCTGCCCATGAATCCAGAAGCTGCAGAGGCACAACCCCTAGCCTTCTTCTCTATAGTCCTTGAGGAGTATGCCCAGGCATGGAGTTGTATGGCTTGCCATGGTGCCTTGGCACAGCCTGAGGGACTCACATGCTCTCCAGGAGTCCGGGTGTTTCAAGGGAAAGGCCAAACCATTGTCTATAGCAGCCAGCTTGATGATGGGCTCCTTCACCACCACCCAGTCGGTGTCCTGGAAGGAAGTGAAGCATATCACAAGGAGGTCCTCCCAGCAGGAACAGTCCTTCTCCTACTCCCTACAGCCCCACTGTCAGGATCTCTGTCCTGGCTACCACAAAGGCACAGCAGCCTCTTGCCTGTAGCACAGCTCTTTAACCACAGGAAAACACAGTCTGCTTTGGGTGGGAAGGGGGACAAAGCTGTTTCTCCTCCAGGCCTCACTCCAAGGTCCAGTAAGTCCAGGTCCATTAGTTTTCCCCAGCATTTCCCCCACAGAGTTCAGCTGCATCCTCACAAAGTCCCACTAGGCCATAACCACCAATGCAAATGGAAACAAAAGGCCCAGGAGACCAGATCAGGCCTTTTCTGACTTGGAAACCCAAGCCAGATGGGAAATTCCTGTCCTGCCTGCCAAGTGGGCAACTTCCAGGAGCAGACTCCCCATGTTGCCCCTGCCCAGGAGCCGCCACTCACCCGCGTGCCCGCGCTGTCCAGGGGACAGTCATATTTGATGAGCCAGTTGTCATTGCCCCGATCTGCAGGGAGATAAAACCAGCTGTGTCAGCACCAGGGCTGCACCACGCTGGGCAGAAGACCATTCTTCCTCTCACCCAGAAGTGAGACAGACACATCTTATGCACAAACTCCCAGAGCCCTTAAACTTGCTGCAAGTCAAGTCCCTCACAGACAGCCCTAGAGGTCCACATATCACCAGCTCCCAAGAGAAAGGTCAATTTGCAAGCCCAGAGTGCAACCTCAATCCCTTCCACTCTGGCAGAAACTCAGGAACATGGTGTGAAATGGGATACAGGGGCACAGTTGGGTGCTGGATTTTTGGATGTTCCTGGATCCTCAAGTAGTGAGCAGTCCAGCAGCTGCACTCTGCCTAGAGGCAGGTGTAACCTGGCAGCAGCTGAGGGAATACGAGTTCTGGGTGCAGGGAAAAGCCACCTGCCCTATCTCCCTCCCCTCTCTCCACCATGGTACGACACAAAGGAGCAGGCAGCATCCAATGCCAGGCAGGTGGCCCTACCTGTGTTCCTGATGATGTAATCCAGCACCACCAGCCGCTCAAACTGCAGCAGCAGCTGCCGATTAGTGTTCTCTGGGAGCGGCTCAGCTTCAAACCGCCGCAGCCAGTAGTCTGCATCCTTGTAGCCTTCCACAAAAAGCTGGAAGGAGCCCACCTGAAGCAAGGACAGGCTGCATTACAGAAGTCCGCAAGAGGCCAGGGAGGCGCCAACAGGCAGGCATGAAGGCTTGCAGCCCTACCTTGGGTGGCAGACCAATGCGGTTGAAGCGCTGGCCAACTTTGGGCACTTTCTCCAAGGCCAGCCTCTTTCCTCGGGATTTCACCCTGTCAATGGCACTGTAATTAAAGGTCTCACTGGCCAGATACACCACCTGGAGGGATATGAGTACAGTCAGCAGGGGCCTCTGGCAAGTCACAGAACTGCCCAATAAAACCAAGACACAGCATTTCCCACAGCTCTGCCCAGCACAAGGATCCTCATGGTTTGAGCAGGAACAGTCCTAGTCTTGAGCTCAGTCTCCTAGGTCAGTAGTGCTACAAGATAAGGTGCAAGCAGGACTGTGTGGAAGCACACAAAAGCCTCCCCAGAACAAGACCCCAGCAGCTGTCCCTCACCTTTGTGCGGGGAACAATGTTGAGTTCCAGTTTCTGGTCCACCAGGCTGGCACCCGCCTCTGACAGGTAGCCCTGGTTCAGGACAAGGCAGTCTCTCCCAAAGCAGCATGGGCAGCACAGCTTCTGCAGCCACTTGGTCCACTTGGGGTTCAGATGCCCATATGGCTCCTCATTCTTGGGCTTGAAGACACCAATGATTTTCTGTGTGTGGGAGAGAAGAGAGCTGAGTCCAGGAAGTTGGCAGAGCTGGGACACCTTCCCCAACCCACAGAGGGGACACTAAGGAACAGGTCCAGAACTGCCCTTCATTAGGATAATAACCAGCCTCCCAGGACCAGGCAAAACCCCTCAGCTCCTGGGAGGGAGGTGGGCAGAGCTAGGAAGAACCCCTCTCCAGCCAGTACTCCATCCCACAAGAGCAGGGTGCTGCACAGAGACCTTTATACCCAACATGTGTCCCAAAAAACACCAGTGATGATGCAGTCTCCTGGTAAACACATCAGTCTCATTCCAGCGACCTTTGGATGGCTGGGGAGAGCTACTGCTCATCATTGATCATTATGTCCACACAGGAAAGGGACAGGGATAGCAATCCCTGCCCTAGCTCAAAATTCCATTGAACAGAAGTGATCCCAAACTGAACAGAGAAAAACAGCCAAGCACCTGCAGGACACCTGAGGAGCCAGGGCCCTGTGCTGGGAGGTCCAGCGGAAGGGCTGACTCTCTGGGTACACTGTGGATGAGAAGGCAGCTCCAAACTGGCCACCAGCTGGTACCAGCACCAGTCCCAGCCCCTCAATCCAGCCTCGCATACACCAACCCAACAGTGGGGACAGCAGCATAGGTACCCCAGTGCCGCAGAGGGCACAGAAGCCTTGTGCAGGGCACTGCACGACCACTGAGCCAGCACTGCCATGGCACACAGATGAGAGAAGACCTGGAAGCATGGCCACCTGTCCCCACAAGTCAGCCATCCCCGGGGGGCTGGCAGACCCTGCTCTGGGGTGACTCAGCAGCACATGCAACCAGGCCTTTTCCTCCTGGCTACTGCTAGCCCTGGCCCCGGTGGGCGTCACTTCCCCAAGCTGAGCTCCTGCCAGAATGTGGAAGTAGAATATGAGTCCCAGTGCTTCAGCAGGGAACTTCAATGCAATCTCAGCCTGTCAGGGGCCAAAAGCCAGGCCAGAGCAAGCAGAACCAATGTTTTGTCCACCAGGAAGACAGAAAGAAAAGGTTTGAGGAAACAGGATCACTTGAGCCGTGTCCAAATCACATGGTGGAGCCACTTCCCCTCGGCAGGCAGGAAGGTAATCCCACCCCCATCAGCCCCACATGGCTGTCACACGACTGTAAACCCATCTTTGGCTATAAGCCTGCAAAGAGGCCTGTCAGGAGCTCTGGCAGCACAAAGCCCTGTGCTCCATGGAACCAGTCCAGCAAAGCAAGGCCCAGCCAGGCAGGGACAGCGAGGAAGCAGAAACCAGAGGCCTGGTAGCACAGCATCACCTTCCAGACAGACCTGTGCTGAGAGCAGCACTGACAGGGAAAACAAGTCTGCCTGGTGCCAGCAGCAAGGCAAAGGGAGCCTGGCTGGCACAGAGGAGCAGCCAGCAGTGGGGTGATCATAACCACCAGGGCTGAGCAGCACAGCCCAACTGGAACAGCTCAGGCCCAGGTAGCCTCAGGGGAAATAATCAAAGTGAAAAATCCACCCCCCCACCCCAAAATCTTCCCCCTGCTGCCCACAATATCTATGTGCTGCACTCCTGTGCCAACAGTGGGATGTTTTTGGTAACTCTGGGCAGCAATCACAGCAATCAGTCACATACCATGTTTGCCAACAGCAGGATAATCTGAGAGACCTGCCAGCTGACAATGCCAGCAGTATGCAGACTTTGGGTCCTCGTGCTCATGCTCCAGCAGCTGTCCTTGAGCTTGGGTCTCCTACAGTCAGGCAGCCTCCAACCTGCAATCCCCAGGCAGCTCATTTGGCTGCCCACTCCAGGTCTCATATTGGGCAATAGGCAGGACCAGGCGGTGGCACAAGTGTGTATTTCCCCACATGCCATCAGCTGAGCTGGGAACTGCCTGGCACAGCTTCCAGGAGCCAGCTTTCACCCAGAGAGGGAAAACTAGGACACACCAAAGACCACAGAGCTCACTCCACTCCTGCTTCCCTGGAAGCATCCCAGCACACACGTGGCAAGGGAGTCACAGGAAACAGCAACAGCTCAAGTAATTGGGCAAAGAGCAGCAGGTCACAAGACAAGCCAGACTGCTGCACACTCATCCCATCAGAGGCACAAAGACAGTTGCCACACAGCTGACTAGGTCTATAGGGGACCAGCTACAAGGATTTTGTCTCCACTACACCAACCACACAGCCACAGAGAAGACATCTCACTCAGTGCAAAAATACAGGCCAAAACCAGCCCAGCCCATAGAGTCACAGCCCTGGGGCTGGAGTCACTGTGTTCAGATGCTGATGCACGCGCCTGCGGGAGGGGGTGACCCTTCCTCTTTGGGCACAAAGCCACAGAAGAGGTTGAATCAGCACTTGGACACTGCTGCCCCGCACTCTCGCTGCTGGTGCCACTGTACTTCTCCCCGGGGAGGCTCAGAGCCGCTCCAGCCGCTCCTACCAGCCCTCCGCGCCCGGTCACTCCCGGCCAGCGCCGCTCATCCCACAGGCCTCCGGAGCTACGGGGGTGGCTCCACGCCTGGGTCGGCCACGCGGGGCTAGGCTCAGCTCACCCCCTGCGGGTCCTT